GGAACTGTCTTAAGTTTCTGAAATAGTAAGTTCACATATTGTGATAGCCTTTTCTGACCCGAACTTCATCCAGCACTCATTCCTGCTGCAAATATAGCAGTATGGATATTGCAGGCAATGCACAGTTACAGATGAGCCAGGTACCCTGAAGATCTCACTGAAAAAAATGTGTAAAATAGAGACAAATAAACCTAAGCCTATAATTTTTCTGTCGTCATCCAAAAATGAAGGCTAAAGAAAGGCTGCAATTCCACAGCAGTGAGGCCCTCAGGAGGTAGCAACAGCTAGAAGAAAGGAGATTCCAAGCAAGGAAGTCTCCCAGACTTCAAAATTTCCTTCAACAGCTCTGAGCACCTGGCATAATCCTATGGTTTGTGTTTTATAGTATTTTAATACTTCTATGCTTGCTTTTCATGAGTGACCAATAAACTGAAAGCCAGCACTGGATTTTTTAGCTTAAGTGACCATATTGCAATTACAGGTTTTTTCTCTTCATCTAGTTCAGACTATCACATTGAATGACATTCCTCTGTCACTTCTATCAGAGACTAGGGACAACTGACAACGTGTACTTTCCAGCCATACTTTAAGCTGTGTCCACCAGTGGCACACAGTAGCTGGCTGTGTGAGGATTCACAGTCTGCTGAAAGGAAATGGCTTATTTAATGCCATTTCCAACCATTCTGACTAATCTGTTAGCTCTGCACTGCAAAGAACAAGTACATGGTCACAAGGTAGTGTGGAACACTAGATGGGGATGGAACAGTGAGTATCATCATTTGAGGTCATATTTCATTACTGTGAGTGTCTAAATTACCTCCAGTATGAGACACGGAAGGGTCTGTGTCTGAAAAAATTACATTCTCTATCAGATGACAACCACATTACCTAACCCTATTTTTTATTAGCTTTTATATTGGTAAACTTAACATAAGAGAAAAATATAATGACCATTTTTTTGTCTTATTTTCTGATTTTCCCATGAAAAAGTGATCTTAAGTTACTTTTTTTTTTTTCCTCAGGTACTGCAAGCAGCAAATTTTGGAACAAACTCTTCTGCTTTGTCATTTCAGAGCCAAAGGTATTTTAGAATGCAAATATCCATAATAGGACTTGGGATGTTACAGGTTTGCTGGAAATAAGGTGTTTCTTAACCACTTGAAAGCATACTGGGTCTCCAGTCTAATTCAATGTGTTTCGTAAAAAAAGTAAGGGGTGTGAGTTTACTTATTTAAGTAAAGCCCTTAAGCACATTAAGCATTTAAAACATTGAGACTGAACATACTTAATTGCTTTGCTGTATTTGAGTCATAATGATTATTGCAATAATTAATGTATGCTCAGTTATTTCTTGTCAGTGCATGCATTTAAGGGTTACTGAATGAATAAACTGATTAATAATATTTGCAGTGAGAAAAGGAAAAATAATTAGTTTTAATATAGTTAAAATGCATTTTACTTTAGAAACTCCATCCCTTTCCATGAAACAAAGTTAACAAACTTGTGTGAGGATTTCAAAATTCTCCAAGTGTTTGGGTTTTCTGTTGTGTTCTTGATTGTTTGGGGGCATCTGTGTGTGTGGAAGGTGTAGGGATTGTTTCTTTGGTTTGTTTTTTTGTTTGGGAGGGGGTAATGATGTGGCTATTAGCTGGAGAACTGCTTTGAGGAAATACCTCAAACAGGAAACAGGCAAGTTTTCAAAAACAATGTCTGCCTTCTGGTCTGAGCATCCTGGCCTCACAGGTCTTGGACTAGCCCTAAAATTTTGATGGTTGTTGTGGCCTCCAGTCCATTCAGACTGTTTTCCTTCTAACCGGAACCCAAAATCATTGAGATCCCAAATCTCATGCACACATCACGAACACAGAACTGGGAAATGTGCAACAGGCAGCAGTTGATTCCTCATGGCTTAAAACCAACTCTTCCTATGCTGTGATGTTCCCTCTCTGTAAGTTTCCAAGACTGTTTCCAACTCCAAAACTTCCTGTTTTCTACACATTTGTGGAGGGAGGAAAAGGAAATGCCTTTTAATAGTAATTTTAAGATGTTCTAATTTTAATTAGTCTTTCAAACACTTCATCAAGTTTCTCATGTAACCAGATTGCTATTTTGATTTTCTACAGTGGCAGCACTGAGACATGAAGCAGCTTTTTGTTGTTTGGATTTTCAATTACAAGCAAGCTATTTAAAACATTCATTTTGAAATTGCCACTTAAGAGTTAATCCTTTTTTTCCTTAGACTTATTCCTAATAAATTAATCTAGCCAAAGCATAAAATATTGTGGCACTTCTTACTACTATATTATTCAAGAAATTTGGAAACATTTACATGTTTGAGGTGTTGCATTAAGAAGCTGTAAGAATCCCAGTAGGATTTATGGACAATATCAATTTACTTGGTGTTATGTTGGTGCACTTTATAAAACTGGAAAAGACTACAAGGTTGTTTGAAAGCATGTTGAAATCTCAGTTTTGTACAATATATCATGCTTAAAAACTAGTTTTATTCACAAATGTATTAGTCCAATTAATCTCAAGTAGGAAAAATTCACAATCAAGAAACAGCAATTGCAAAAAAGACACAGCTATGTTATCATCTTGAATTTCCAGAGTATATTTTCACACAAGTATGATTTCAGATTTAGATAAGATAACCGTAGTGCACAGTTACCTATGAACTAAATATACATTGTTTTCTTCTGCTGCATCAGTAATATGAACTTCTCTTGAGTATGTATGGTCTTCTAGCTTTGTTCACATGTAGCTGCCGTTTCAGAATATAAGGATTTTTTCTCTTCATGATTTCTTTTTCTTGGCTTGAGTTCTCTAGATCAAGAGCATCTTGCTGAAGTAACTGTAGGATGCAAGAGAC